GAGGAGGAATTCAGGCAGTGAGATTGCTGCAGCAGCAAAAACATCCCCCATGGGTCCATCTTACGTTGGCAGAAGAGCCCTTCAGCCAGCCCAGGTTACCACAGAGGGCTGTGCTGCTTCTAGGGGCTCTGGCAACACCTCTCTGCTGGGTAAGGCTTTTGTGGCACAGTCCCTAATCCTGGTCAGCCCCCAGACTGGAGAGAACGTCCCAGAATGTGGGACACGGAAATTACCATGTCAAGTAAGGACTCCAGTTTCTGTTTGTTCAAATGATTAATCTAAAATGCTAATAGGAAGATCTAAGACAATGTCTCATCTAGATACTTTTTCCCTCCCATCCAGTACATCCATAGCAGCAGTCTCATGCCCCATCTAGTTGTGTTTCTCTCAAGAGCTCATTCCAGCTTGTTCCTACTCTCTGTGAGATTATCTAGCAGTGAGATTCATATGTTAAATATAAATTACACAAAGCAACAGTTTATTGTCAGTTCCTGGGTGTCCTGCCTCCCAATTTCATTGACTATCTCCCTTTTTATAAGATACAATTCGTACCAACATGTGGCTCACCTTTCTGCCTTCAGCTTCAACTTTCTCTGCAGTTCACATGTAAATCCCTAAATAAGTGCTTTATTTTGGGATTTTTTTATTTTTTTTTTTAAACTTTTGCTTCCCATACAGATATAACACACAAATCATAAAGATGACAAAACCCTACAGGGTAGTCTGAAACAGTATGTGATGGAGAATTGTCCCTCATTGTACATCTTTGTTAAGGAGTAATTTTAAATGCTTCAAGCAATAAAAAGCTAAACAATTTAATCTATAAGCAGTTCTAAGTTGGACTAAACTTTGCTTCATTTCATCCACTATTTCAGCCATTCTAGAGCCAACACTACCATTTACAAAATCTTCTTTAATATGGTAGCATCTAATACCAGTTTCTTTAAACATGCTGCTAAATTTGCATTCATTCCAGTACTTCTCAGACACTGGATATGTACAGAGCAGAACTCTTCAGGGAATCAAGGAAAAATCACCATTTAAATAATAAAAATCATGTATGTATATTCAATCAGGGTGGTTTAAAATATCGCTGTTACTTCCAGGAGCTGTATCAGAGAGCAGAGGCTGGCACCTATTTGCACTTTAAGTCTGAGATGAGATCTTGTTTTGTACAGAGTATTCTAATTCCTATGTAGCTGTGTAAGAACAAGCAATCTCGGATTTTTGAGGTGCTGCATGACATTCAAGGCTTTTGAATTAAAAAAAAAATACCAAAACAAACCAACAGTAATACAAAAGGTTTCCAGATAGCATAAGTAAGATTAAATGCAGTTTACTCATCTGTAAGAAGTTTGCTTCAGAGGCTTTTGTTGTGTTTCTATTGGATCCAGATGTCCTGGTTTATAGAGCTATATAAAGGGAAATCTAAATCATTAGAGGCAGTGTTTTCAGTGGACAATAAATAATGCCTAATGACAGATCATTGGTACTTCTGACAAATCGAAGTTATTTTGATATCTGCACTGTTTAGATAGCATTTACCTAATTTTTACATAGCTTATACTACTTATGCTAAAACTACTAGAAAACCAGCAGATATTGGTCTCTCAATGAAGACCAACACTTACAAAGATTTATAAACCTATAGCAAGAAGTGATATATTATTTACATACCCGGTGACTTTGAAATTCTGTTTTAGGTGCAATGGCATGAGAACTAATTCACTTATGTGCACTGTGCCACCTATTCCCTTACTTACATTTCTGTGCAGAAATACTGAAATATCTCATCAGAGAGATCTCTGTTGCTTTATCATCACTGACTTTATGCTCCCTCCAGATCTTTCCATTTGGGTGATTTGATTTGCTCAGGTAACCTACTGTCTTTTTAATAGGTTTAGGTAAATAGATCTTCCACAAATCTGTCCAAAATCCTGCCAAGGAATATACATTGCTAATACCCAGAGCAATGTCCTGTACAAAAGAAGAAACAACATGAAAGACATGTTAATCTTTAGCCTTGTAACCCAAATACCTTCGTTGATAAAGGCTGTTACAGTGATTTGCCAGAGAGAAGTGAGTTGTCTGAGCACATGGATTTGTTCAGACTGGTTTTATTTACTTTTCTTTAGAAATGTGACAGATCATGTTGAGCAAGACATTTGCATCTAATGTGCCCAGAGCTACTATTAAGGACATGTTCTAAAACCCAGAAATACAGTATAGTCTCTTGTAGTAGTGTTGACAGGAAGATATCAAGACTAGTCACACAAAATTACCTACCTTTTTTTAAGTAAGAATTTTATTTCCCAAACTATTACTACTGGTTTTAGGTATATAAATATATATATTTTCTAAAACAATCTTGCAAATCCGTATCTTGTAAATCTCTATTTTTCTTCCTGTAAACTAAAATAAGCTGTACAATGTTGAAAGAGAGGCAAAGGACATTCTTAAGAAGAATATTGGTTTCCCTGCTGTACCTCTTTGAAAAAGTTCTGTTCTCAAATTACCAATGAAGGCAAACCAGGCACTGAATTTTTGTGGTGCTAATTATGATAGATGGGAACAAGGTTGTCAGCTGGTACGTGTCCTCACTGTGTCATTTAAGCACACTCATAAGGAGGTAGATTTAATTTCAGACTGGCTCATCTACTCAGTATGCTGTGTGCTCATCCTAACCAGGTGTAAGAGGTTGCAAGTTGGATCAATGAAGGCAGTAACCTGTGTTGTGTGGGAGCACTGATCTGCTGGAGGGTGGGAAGGCTCTGCAGAGCAATCTGGACAGGCTGAATCAATGGGTTGAGGCCAGTGGTGTGAGGTCCAACAAGGCCCATGCAGCGTTACAGGCTTGGCGCAGAGCGGCTGGAAAGCCACCCTGTGGAAAAGGACCTAGACCAATTGACAGATGAAATGTGAGGTAGCAGTGTGCCCAGGAAGCCAAGAAGGCCAGTGCCATCCTGGCTTGGATCAGGAACAGTGTGGCCAGCAGGAGCAGGGCAGTGATCATCCCCATGAACTCAGCACTGCCGAGGCCACACCTCGAGTGCTGTGTTCAGTTCTGGGCCCCTCACTACAGCAAAGTCATTGAGGGGCTGGAGCGTGTCCATAGCAGGGCAGTGGAGCTGGGGAAGGGTCTGGGGCACAGGTCCTGTGAGGATCAGCTGGGGGAGCTGGGAGTGTTTAGCCCAAAGAAAGGAGGCTCAGGGGAACCTTATTCCTCTCTGGAACTGCCTGAAGGGAGGGTGTAGCCAGGTGGGAGTCAGTCTCTTCTCCCAGGTTACCAGTGACAAGACAGGATGAAGTGGCCTCAATTTGTTTAGGGGATATTTAGATTAGGTGTTAGGAAAAATTTCTTCACTGAAGGGGTGGTTGAGCTCTGGAACAGTCTGACTGGAGAAGTGATTTTATCACTATCCCTGTAGGTATTTAAAAGATGTGTAGATGTGGCACCCGGGGACATGGTCTAGTGGTGGAGTTGTCAAAGCTGGGTTTACAGTTAGACTTGATGCCTTAAAGGGCTTTTCCAACCTAAACAGTTCTATGATTCTTTTCTTTTATTCTGCTCTTTCTTCTTAATATTCTACAATTCCTCTTCCTCCATTTAACTGTTATAAGCATTCAGTAGCTAATTTCCATTTCAATGCAGCTGAGAATAGGTTTGTCTGCAGTATTTTAACATAAAAGGAATGTACATGGTGTTTTACTTTGTTCTGGACACGTAAGGTTTATTTATGTAATGTAAGCATGAAAGCAAATAACTTTGCATGCTCATTCCTACAAGTCACTCAAATCCATTACAGTATTTTTTTCCAAAGCAGCCTGTTAAGTCTAACCACAAAATCATTAAGCACAGGAGTAGGTCTGTTTCAAATTAATACAGCAGGTGGGCACATCACAGACTAACAGCAGTGTGGCATTTCCCAAAAGGGAGGATCATTGTCATGAAATAATAACAGAACTACTGTGTAGCTCAAGGAGATAAAAATGGAAGCACGTTTTTGCACAGGTCCTGCACCTGGAAATTGAGTCATCTCCTGTGACAGAAGCCATCATTAGGCTGCTACTGTAATTGTCTGAAATTCAGAAAATACCTTTCTTCATGGGCTGTAGCCAGGACACTTTCCTAAAAGCTAGTTTAATTTTCCTCAGTGCTGTGAAGTATGAGAAACTTTTTTGTGTCATGAACCATCAGTTTCTTTTGAGCAAATCCTTTTTGTTTGAGTGTTTAGAAAAATACATACTTCTAGTTCTGGGGGTTCTGTTGGCTTTTTCTCCAAGAAAACATGAATGCAACAACATCTTGCAGAGACAGGTTTATAGCCTAAGGTGCTGAAAGAACTTCTCATTACCACATGTTCACAGAAAATCTGTCCGCTTTGAACAATCTGAGGACCAAAATCAAGAGCAGAAGAAACACAAGGAAGGGGCTTGGGAGTGCCAGGAGCTTGTCCCTGCCCAGATGACAACTCAGTCCCAGTAAAAGAATGGAGAGGCCAGGGCTGGACCTTCCAGTGTGCAAATATAGTTCTTCATAAAGCAAATCTGTTAATGGTGTCTGCAGTTCAGGCTGGTGTGGAGATACCCAGCATTCAAATGCACCCACAGCAGTTCCTGCCCTGCAGCGAGGCTCAACATCACTCTGTATCTCTCTCCTCAGCCTGGCTGCATTTTCTCAGTGCTGAAATTAATTCACAGGTAGATTTACTGTGATATTTGCTGATTCTCATAAACCTTAATTTCCCTTGCTAAAGAGTTCTGGTTTGGGCAGTTTCCAGCAATGAGGCCTGTATTGTTATCTAGACCACAATCTGCCCTAAATTAATTTTTAAAGGGGTTTGAGGTGTTTTCATTATACATGATATTGCGTACTTTGGAAATATTTGTGCATGACAAACTTTTTGCAAGTTTATTGCAGGTTTGTTTTTTTTAATTGTATTCTCTCTGTGACCCAGAGATAATGTCTTTTTCACATGTCTTTTTCCATATTTTTTAGGAGACCCTGAAAGCTTTTGACCGGGAAGTAAATGCATTTGTGGACTATATGTTTGGACCTCGAGGTAAGCTGCTCCACTTACAGCCCTTTAAGGAAATAATACTTCTAGAGATTACCACCCAAAAAATTTCTAAGAAATTTGCTGAGCAACTTCTTATTGAAAAATGTAAACTAGGCAGAACCACGGTATTATCAGGAAGACACAGTTATTATAGCAAATCTATCAATGCAATGATTTGTGATTCCTTTGTTTCTGAGAATATCAGAGAAAGTCAATTTTACATCCTAACATGGAATAAAAAGCCTGAAAGCCTGGGTCTTTCTGAAAGTGGAAGATCTGGTTTGGGACTGATTGTCATTTGTAACCCAGTTTCTTTGGTCCAGCTGCTTATTAAATTGCCTAATTCAGAAGGCTCCAAGCAACCTGCGGGATCACATACAAAATTTCAATAAACTAATATATTGGGTAGGAGAACAGATGCATCTTTTGACTTCCTATTATTGCTTTCTGGAACAGTTTGAACAAGAGTAACTTAAATAATTTTTGGTTGGAGGTGCCTCATGCTTTGCTAGGATTGAAACAAGTAAGTAAAAAACCCCTCAAACCTAAAATAAGACTGCAGGCAACGATGAAGCATCACAGTCAGGGTTAAGAGAGCCGAGCAAATATAAGAAAGGGGTGAGACAGGAGCTTGGACAGGCCACAGTCTTCAAAGCAGGTCCCTGAAAGGCCACCTTGTTGTTGATAGGGCTGGGCTTAACTTCAGGAGTTGCCTTGCAAACTTCTACCCATGGTTGAATGCAGAAATACTGCTTGATGGATGCCTGATTATGGATTCCCATTTTGTTGCAGTAATGTTCTCGCTGTTTCTGTTTCACAGAAACAGTTCTTGTTTAATTGGAAGGAAAATGGAAAGATGTAGTGTTCTTAAACACAAGAAATTCTAATTTTTCTTAGCTGGCTGGCTGGCTACAAAATCTTTTCCATCATGTCTGCAGTAGATGCGAAGTTTGAAAGAAAGATTTCTAGTGAAGAAACACTGAACAGCTTGGGAACTGCAGCAGAAGTGGTTAAAGCAGAATAAGTTTTATTAATGGCTTCTACAATAGTACATTTAATATTAACAAAGAAATGTGATCAGAAGAATGAAAGCACTACTTTTTGGTGTTTTGTTTTTTTCCAAATGGACATGATGTTCTCTTTCATTCCTCTTTCCTTGTTGGTTCAGACAAATTGTCTGAAGGAATAAGCTATAGCTGATCCAATTCTGAATAGCACAAAGATCCCTTAAAGTTTTAATAAAGTCCTTCAATTAAACAAGTATTATTTGTATTGCTTGCCAAGTACATCACCATCCTTCTTCAGATATCATTTCTGAAATATCTTTGTTTGTCCACGCCTCTGCACTCTGATCTTTAATTTAACTGGTGGTTAATGGCACAGTATCATGCATTTCCTGAATAGTATATCTCCCTCCAGTGTGTCTATCCACATAAATAATTCACATAAATAATTCACAATAAACTGCAATCAGTTTTAAATCGAATGACCCCACAGATGAATATCTAATGAATTTGAGAGCTTCCCCAAACATCTAAACCCACAAACCATTCTTCTTCTTTCTCTCTACTGATTTTCATCCACAATACACACTTCATTCAGCAGCAAGATGGATTAAAAGGATAGATAACAGCACTCTATTATTTTAAAAAATGATCCCCTATTTATTGTTTATATTTTAGGTAGCTCCTGAAATACTTGTATCACTATGCAGGTCTTTGTCATCATTACCAGCTGTGTCTGAGGGCACTAGAAGAGACAGAAAGCCACGCTCTAGTTCCCAGAGGCAATCTCTGTCACATTGGGAGCACCAGGTTAACACAAGCTGCAGTGCTGCCCGACTAGAATGAGGGCCAGACTGTCAGAGATCTGAATTTGATTTACAAATATCAGCATATTTTGTACCTTCATTCACTGGTATCAGCTGGGCTTTGTAGACAACTTTACATCTGTGTCTGCTTTTGAATTAGTAGAACAAACCCACTGGATCAGGGAACAGCAGCCATATTCCTGCCCATGGGTTTTGTCTCTTAATAAGGGGTGGTCTTACAGTTTGGTGTTGGTCCATATTGTTTTTATGCTCAAGGCAAATTGAGAACAAGTGAAATATCAATTTTCTTCTCTAAGAGGTATTTTTTCCAGGCTCACCCTCCATCTGCAGAGTATTGTTTGATGTTATACAAAATTAAGTAATATTGAATTGCAGGAGCTAAATCTAGTTAACTGGTTGTTTGTTTTACCTGTGAAAGAAGCAGAGGTGATCGAGATGTATTTTTTTAAAGTTACAATAAAGTAAAAAGTACTTTTCCTTAATGGACTATGATCAAGGCACTGGGGCAAAGCCATCTACCCTCTGCTCCTTAAAAAGGACTGACTCTACTCAGATACTGACTGGCCAAAGCTATACAGGAACTTGAATCAAAATGTTTCTAAACCTCATTGATAAAAGCCTGATATGTTTAAAGAGCCTGGGAGGCCTGCCACTCATTTAGAAGGAGCCAGGATTTCACCCCAAGGGTTTGGCACATCATGGCCAGTGACTGTGAATGAGCTTATTCATGGAGCGATCAGAGCTTGTGGGCGCCTGTTCCTTCCCTTGCTGTAGTCCAGTGCTTTCCCACTGTGACTTTGTTCACTGCTTTGGTCTCAGTTTCAGGTGCTGTGCAAGTTCAATACTGTAAAAATAATCCTTTCTCCTATCGACAGTGTAACTCTATAGTACTTGAACACCGGGATTTAACTGTCGGTCAACAGAAATACTTTTCATCTCTCATTCTTCAGATAACTTCTTTTGAAATACATTCCCTTTCCTCCCCCATCTTGACACATAAAAACCTCCCTCTGCTTGTCATTCAGGGTTAAGTGGAAGTGGAAACAGAACAGTCACGTTCCTTGGCTGCCCTTTATAAACTACTTTCTGCCAGAAACTCTTACTCTTCAAGGTATTGAGGTCATGGTGGGAAATATTCAGGAAGGGTACATGCTTTAACAATTTCTCTTGAAACTGGAATACTGTAGAACTTAAAAATACTTGACATGCTGACCTGAACAAGCACACAAATTCTGCTTTTGTGTGGATCAGCCCACATGCTTGTGGCCACTCACAGCAGAATGAAAACTTTCTGAGGGCATACTGGGGCAGAATTTATTTTCTGTAGTTTAATTTGTATTCTGGACTCTTCTAAATATTTTTCCTCTTTGAGCAAACAGGCAGTTTTGTTATCTACTGATGCCGATTTGCCTTTGTGTATGTAATCTTTATGCATCAAGTTTTGCAATCCTCGAATGGGAGACTTTTCCTTAGATAGCAGTCTTGCTAACATGACTGCTCTCTACATCTTCATTTAGGTTTCCAATTAAATAAATTAAATCCTTATGCTCCTAAAACACACACTTTTAAGACATAAACACTCAACCTTTACCTGTCCTTTAACTCCTGCGTCATGTTGAGAGCCCATAAGGGAGAAGAATCACTTCTAAAATATTCATTCCAGTGCTTCACATGTGGCTTGTGAGCTCTAAGAGATTGTTGGAAGTATTTCCTTCTCACACTGAGGTGATCCAAATAAGCATTGAGATCTGAAGACAGACAACAGGCGTTCTATCTTGGTAACGCACAACAAAGCAAGGCTGCCATAAAAGGAAGGACTGTGCTGTTGTGACTGCTTTAATCCTACACCTCTCTGCTCCTAGAGGTTCGTGGGAGTCCAAGAAGGAGAGTCAAAAGCAGGAGAGCATTGGGCTTCCGTGGTGGTGGTGGCCTGGTTGAAAGTCTTTCCTGGAAGGGCTAGCAACCCTCGTGGAATCCAAATTCAACAGACAAATGTTACAGCCACTGCAGTGGAAGCGAGGGGGGAAACAGAGGAAAAATGTAATGAGAAAGGAAGCTGGTGTTCAAAGCCTCATATGCAGAGTTTTTATTACTCTAACATATGTAAAATTTCACTTTACATATACCTGTATGCATGTATTTCTGAGGAAGGAATTTTTGGAAAGAATACAGTTCAGCAAAATTACAATAATTACAAATGTGTGTTTGGGCACATTTACTTGGCGCATCATCCATTGCCCAATCTTTTCCAATTTCAATACAGGCAGAAAAATAGTAAATTTTTATTTTCATGCACTGTGAATAGCTTTTCTTTTACAATTTTTAACACAATCTTGGCCTTTGTAAAAAAATAATGAAGTAATTTAAAACATTTTCAAGAGCAAAGACATCTTTCTAAGAGCAGAAAGAACTACTAGCTGTGATGCCCCCTTGTTCTTTCCATAGGTAAATGGCTGAAGAATTTTGCTGTGGAAAATTGACTCTAGATTTTGCTCCATCTTGGAGTAAGAAAAAAAAGAAATGAAGAAAGCACATCCCTTTCACTCATGGCATCCAGTTGCTCGTATGACAACAAAGCGGTGCCTCCAGCTTGGCATCTGGGATTAGGCTTTGCTCATATACACTGAACTATCTGATTACTGCCAATGGGATTACTTGTGTGAATAAGGCAAGCAGGATTTGACCTTAATATTTCATTTCAGGACCAGGCAAGTGGGACAGAAACTGCGAGAAAGCAAGCCCTCACCAGCCAAAAATCTTTGATAACCATCAAAGTAAATGTTTGCCACTTGCTTTTCATATTTAATATTTTGGAAAAGTCTTCCCCTTGTATCAATGTTTTCTAGTCAATGCTATATACACCCTCCTACCTGTATGGCAAGTGCAGAATTAAAATAACATGTGAGCTGGCAACATTACATGCATATTTTGTATTTAATACTATCTGCAAATTGTCTCTTGAGCAGAATAAGATAGGATTTAAGTAAACATTAAGTTAAAACACTAATTAAAATTTTTAAAAGCATATAAGAATAGGGTTTTCCATTTCATTTTCTCTTTACTATTAAAATGGAGGGATATAAGTGACCTTAAATTAATAGGGAATTCCATGCAGTTTTCAGCCCACATTCTCTGTGACTTAGCATGCAATATCAGTAAGTTGAAAACAATGGATAGCTCTTGTGAGGAAAGAATGGCTGATTCCATCTCACACTTTTTAGCAGATTCTTTTCATGATGTGTTCTGCCTAATATTAGCAGTACTTTACCATAGCTTTCTTAATTGCCTGCTCCATGTGCTTCTTTTTTTTAGATGCCAGGGTTAGAGGATGGTTCCTTTTGGACTCTTACCTTCCCACGTTTTTCCTTACTGGAGCATATCTACTCTGCATATGGCTGGGCAACAAGTTAATGAAGAACAGGCCTCCTTTCTCTCTCAGGCCTCACCTCATCGTGTATAACCTGGGCATCACGCTGCTCTCCTTCTACATGCTCATAGAGGTAGGTGCTCTTCCATGCAGCACGGCTGAGGAAGGTGACCAAGATGCAGTTCTTAGCAGAAATATCTTAGGTGGTTTCACTAGGAAAGTTTAAATCAGCAGCAAAATAAATTTAATATTAAAAAGTCCCTTCTCATCTTAGATCTTGGCATGTTTTGATCGTCCTTCCTGAGCTACAGTCCACACCTGGGGACAGCTCTTTGCCGCCAGGACCATGTCCACAAGCATAAATTTGAATCTGCAGCAGTCACTCAGCTCAAACGTGCCTATACTGTGCTCTTCAAGGTCCTGAGAACCTTGTTCTTCAGCACCCATGAAATGCCATAAAAAAAAACCCAATTGGGTTTTATTTGTATAACTGTCTGTGGAATGATTTTTCCAGCCCCATGCTTAAACATGAATAGATTTATAGAAGAGAGCAAGTACTGATTTATTTATGGTATTGGCAGTTCTGTGTTATTTTTCTGCTCTTGTGACTAAGAAGCTTTCCTCATGCAGTCAGACAGTAAAAGACAGATGTTAAAAACTTACCACTTCATCCAAAAGCAAGGGCTGTGGGGCTTGGAGGCTGCATATGGTCACACAGATTATTTCCCAAGTACTTATCAGAAAGGAACATGCTCATATGATTCAGGATCCATTTGGAACCGGAAGAGAGGTTTGAATGCACCTTATGATTTTTCAACAGCAGAGGATTCAGACAGTGCCTCTCAGCAGACATGTGTGGTTTTGCCTCTACTGAGGAGAACAGAAGCCAGAAGTCAATATTTGGGTATTATTTGGGAGCTGCCCCTTCTCAGCCTGCTGATAACTGCGGTGCTTTTAATATTAAGGTGTTAACATACATTAATTGAAGCCCTTAAAAACAAACAGTAGGAGACAAAAGCCACAAAAGCTTTTCTTTTCTTTTTCCTAATAAAGTGACCCTGGTCATAAGAAGCCCTGGCTGAAGAATGTGCTTGATTTCATGGTGTGGCCTGACACTGCTGTGTTGCCTGTGCAGCCTCACAGCATTTCTCACTCCCAGGGCTCTCAGCCACAGTTTCCACCTTTTTCTGCTGGGTGGACAAGAAACCTTTCAGAAACCAAACAGGACACCCAAAGATTTCAAGTTTTAAATTGATTTGAGCTAAACACCAATTGTCTGGCCTGATCAAGCAGCTGGGGAGCAGTTTAGGTTCGTGCCTTTGTGCAAAGGACTGATTGTGTTACAGAGAGCTTTATCCTGGCCCATGCTCCAGCTGGCTTTGCAGGCTGCTGTGGGTGTCTGGGAGTGCAGGATAAGGTTTAGAGCAAAGGAGAAACCAGCACAATTGCTGGAAGGTTTGATGACTCCACAATGATTGTCCCCCAGAATTTAAATTAGTACTTTGATGTTTAAATCCCCATTTTGCTTGAAGGTATACAGATAACTGGCTGCAGTAGCAGGACTCAGCAAAAAGGATTAACCGACTAGAAAACAATACTGCTGTACTGCTTCCCCCTTTCCCTTCCAGTCTGATTTGGCCTGCCACAAGTAAATAAATGGAAGAACAAAGGACATCTTAGCAGGTCTCATTTGCATGAATGAAGCAAATTTGGTTTTAGCCACCTTCACATTCTGGTAGGAACTGTATTTAGCTACCTCCTGCTCAGCTGTCTTCCTGCTTCATCCTTCCTGAGTCCAACTTTGCTGCAGACAGTCGCTGAGTTATGTTAGTCCTCAGATAAGTCCCTTGAGACCTTGATTCTGAGGCTGGAGGCTGCTGATTTACACCTCCCAGACTGCTACTGGGCATGGCTGGCAGAGCCAGCTCACAGCTCCACATTCTGCAAATTTGGGAACCCAGGGAACATGATGGCTGATCTGCACTGCCAGCTGTTCTACTGCAGATTTCACTCTTAGCTCTGGACTGTCAGCCAGGCTGGTTTTACACTGTACAAAACACACTTCCACAATACTGGCTCTGCATTTTCTCTTAGTCTACTTCCCTGGCTCCTATCACAGCTTCTCCTGTGAAGGAGCAGAATGAAAGTTAGTACTTGCAGTCTGAGGTAGCCTGCACATCCCTGCTGAAGAAAAACAGGCAAATGGGAGAGCAGAAATCATCTTCACTGCCAAATAAAGTCATGGTGATTTCAAAATCTTTAATTTCCAAAGCTTCTCTCTATGCTCCTTATTCTCTCAGTCTTTTGTGGACAGTAAGCTCTTTAAGGCCAGAGTTACCTATATTTAGCACATTCTGCATAGTGGTTCCTTATGTAAACACAGCTGATCCTTGCAGTGACTGTGATTTGGGATCAATTCCTGGTTAGACACATCTACAACAGTTGTTTTATTCCTCTGTCCTCTCACTGCATCTAAACCCCTCTGTCTCTGTATAGAGGAGAAATCACAAAATAAGAAGCTGTGCAAAAAAAAAAAATCTCATTCACAAGAAAGGGTGTATCACAAATCCATCATGTGGGACAGGCTGTATATGAATGAGAAACGTGGTAAACCTACTGATGGGGGTATCTGTGCTTCAGTACTTCATCTCCTCACCTTCATCTCCTGATTAGTTATAGATGGCACTCCATGACAGTTGATTTGTGCAACCTCAAGGCAAGAAGACGATGGTTACAGCAAAGAGTCATAACAAAAGGGCTGTTTTAAGTCTGCAAGGGCAGATTCCTCTTTTGAGGCAGAGTTCCATGCACTGCACTGTGGGCATGAACTATCTGGGAGCCGATTTTATCTCTGAGCTTTGAGGTCAACCAATCCGCAAAGTACTTGGAGGAACAGCTTCAGGACAACTCTAAGATGTGCCATTAGCATGAGGTCAGACACCCCTACGATGGCCGAAGGACAAGGTCTAAAGATAAACAGCTCTGCCCAGCTGCTCTCATCCTGCTGAGGTGTCTCAAAATTTTTGAGTCAACAAGGAGTTAGGTGCCTCTGAAGGCCTCCCAGAAGGGCAGCTTGTTAGACCTTTAGACTTGTTAGGCAAATAGATTTGCATGGAGTTGTCAGGGGTGCTCACCTTCCCCAGCTGACTGTGATGAAGTTGGCACTTGGGTTTGGAGCACTTTTTTTTCAAGTACCTCATGCTTGGACAAAGGTCCTGTGCTGAAACTGGGCAGGCTGCAGGGGGGCTGCCGAGGAGGCAAAAGACAATTCCTTCCACCCTTGCTGATACCGAAGAAACTTACGTCAAAGTTTGTTTATTGTTGTGTACTTTTCTGTACCAGTAAGTGCTCATAGACCCAGATCAACTCTACTGATCCAACAATTTCTAGAACATTGTGAAATTCTGTATAAGGAAAAACAGCTAGCATCTTTTTACTTTAACAAAAATCAAAACTTTTAACAATTTTCCTTAAGAAATATATGTCTTTTCACTGCACAAATATTTGCTTAAGATGCTAAAATTACCAACTATGAGCAGTTTTTCACAGCTTACTGTGAAAAAACATCACATCTGTGCATATTTTAAAATTGTTTCATGTGCTTACGAACCAACTTCAGGGATACAAACTGAGGCACCAGAGGCTAAACTGTCACAAGTTCAGTGGCAAATTAAAACTGGAAACACAGGAGACTGGTGCTGATCTCTGAATTCTGAAATTACTCAGGTGAGGATACTCTCTCTCACTAATAGGAATAGACATAATCTCTGCCACAGTCTTAGGCTGCTTTCCCCAGCAGTATCACCTCTGCCCTATTTAAATCAAATCTCAGCTGGTCATCAAGGTCTCGCCCAAGTCCTTCTGTTGATCAGGCACTGAGAAAACCAGGACACTAGCACCATTTGGGTCAGATTAAAAAGGAGATCTGGAGATATGTGTCATTAGCAGAGGGGTGGCGTGATGTCTCAAGCTGCCTGTATCCCCAGGTAGCTTCTCAGACTTATTACAAATCCATGGGATTTGTAAGCAAGCAACCACATCCATGTGGGGAAGCAGGACTTGCATGTGAGCACCCCTCGTTTCAGAGCAAAGGGAAAAGAGCAGGACTCACAAGTATTGCCAGCCCAGTGCATTAACCTTTCTAGAGGAGCCAGAAAAAAAGTCTTCTGCCTTGCAGGATTAAATAAAATAAAAAGCAGTAAGTCAAATGCACTTTAGCTGTTTCTAGGAGCTAAGAATTCAAACCACATTAAGTCCAGTTTCTGAATTATAGCCATAACTTGCATATTCATCGATGCCAAGGTGGTGTGAGGAGTCCCAGGAGTGCCAGAAGGATCAGGGCCATCAGCCACCACTTTTAGCCCTACACACTGCAACAGAGATTATATCTCACATATTACTAGAAAGTATAGTGTCTGAATTAGGCATAATAGGGAGAAACAAAAGGAACAAATCAAAAAATAGAAGGAGCACTTAAACTCTGTTTTATTCCATCACTATAATGGCTCACATCAGAAAGATTTGCTTCCTATCTGTGCAAGTGTTAAAAAGATGGAGCATGTGTAGCACAAGTTCTAAGTAAACTTTTGAGGGTGCAGACGATGGGGAAGGGTAAAAAATTTCCTAACCAATTTGAACTTTCTTGGAATTTTACTGTAGAAATCCACCTTCAACATAATCTTTCTTTTGGTGTTTGTTTTGTTTTGATTTTATTTGGGATTTTTTTGGTTTGGTTTTGGTTTGGTTTTTTGTTTGTTTTGTGGTTTTTTTTTGTGGTTTTGATTTTTTTGGGTTTTGTGGGTTTTTTTGGGGGGGGGGGTTCTTTGGTAATTTTGGTAATTTGGTAGATTATTGTTTACTCCTTCATTGATTGTTCAGAAGTTAACAAATGTAAATTAAGTACAGAAGTACAGACAGATTCTAGATCCATCAGTATTGGTGCTTGAGGTGAAGGCTTCCTTTGATGCCATTATTTAGTACTGAGAGACTATTTGTACCTTAGGGCAGCAAGAGAAAAAGAACAAAGTGAGAAACCTGAAGAGTTCAGGTGCACTTCTCTATCATTTGAAGAAAGGAGAAGTGGGAAAAAGAAAAACCTAGAGAGTAAAAGGTCACCGAGAGTGCATTGTAAAG